TCGCTCCCTCGGTGCTCTCGCTCCCCGCGGCAGCAGCGGCGGCTTCACTGCCGCGGCCCCGCGCAGCCTCCGCGCAGCGGGCGGGCGCGATCCCGGCCGGCGGCCGCCCCCGGCGGCGGCGGCTCCGGAGCATCCAGGAGGGCGGCGGGCGGCAAGGGGGGGCTGCCGCGAACCGCCGCCCGCGCTCAGGGCGTGGAGGAGCCGCGGCGCGGAGCCGTCTCCGCCGTCGTCCCTCCGCCGGGCTCGCTCCGCCGGGGTCCCGTCGCCGCCGTCCGCGCTCCGCCGGGCGCTCCCCGGGACAGCCGCTCCTCCCTCGCGGCCGCGGGGCGAGCTCCCGGCGGGGGCAGGGGCTGCGCTGGTGCCGCCGCTGCCCCGGCCCGGCCGCGCTCGCAGCCGCACTGACAGCCCCGCTCGCCTCCTCTTCCAACTTCGCGAAATAAAGCTGCACTTGCCGGTCCGCGGCCGCCGCCTCCGCCCGCGGCTTTGCGCTCCCCCTTTTTTAAGCACAAACAATCGCTACTTCTGTTTCCTAAGGACACGAAGCCGGTTTCTCTCTTCTTTTTTTTTTTTTTCCCTTTTTTTTTTTTTTTTTTTTTTTTTTTTTTTTTTTTTTTTTTTTTTTTTTTTTAACCTCATCAGCTTTTTTTGAAAAGAAAAAAAATTTGAGCGCTTTTTGAGTTGAAACACCCGCCCACATTTTAACGGCAGAGATTTAAGGAGGCGCGGCGGAGTTCGGGCAGGAAGGCCTGCAGCGGCTCCCGCCCGCCCCTCGCCCGGCCCCGCCGCGCTCCGGCCGCCGCCGCAGCTCCGCGGCGCCCGGTGCCGTCCCCTCGCCGCGCAGCCCGGGCACGGCTCCGCCACAGCCAGCACGGCCCGGCTGCTTTTAGGAGCAGCGCTGCTGAGGCCTAGAGGGGGGGAAATGAAAGGAAAAGGAGGTTGCAGCAGCGGGAGCCGCCGCACCCCGGCGGGAGGAGCGGGATCGGGGCAGCTTGGCAGGCGGGAGGGCGGCCTCTGCCACGGCGCTGCCCGGAGCTTCTCCCGGGCGGTCTCCACCTGCCCGCGGGGGGAGCGGAGCCGGTCCCGGTCCCGGCCCCTTCGCCCTCGCTCGGCACCCCGCAGGCAGCGGCTCCGCGCTCGGGTCGCCCGGGCGCCTCTCTCATCCCGAGGACAAGGTCAAGGATGAAGGGTCAATGTCAAGTTGTCTTAACGGGGAAGGCGACCGTCCACGGCAGCACTCCTTGCTTCCCGCGTTCCTGGTGTCCTTGATTGATTCGAAAGTGCCATTTTGAAGGGGAACCGCGCCCGGGCACCAAGAGGACGCGAGGACTTTGCTTTTCCTTCCCAGGGCGAAGAAGAGAGGACGGTACAGGACGGGGATGCCACCGCCACTCTGCCTAACAGTATTTAGGGTCTTAAAGTGCTTTAATGGCTGGATTGCTTTAGGTTTCAGGGACCCTCGGAGGACTGCGTTCTGCCAAGCGAACCCTCCGAGAGGTAAGCAGCAATGTCATGGCTCCCTGATAAGCACACGTAACCCATCGCTCGCAGGGCAATCTGCACGTCTGTTTTCTGCGTGGACGCCACGGGAAAGTGATTTTGAACGTAAACAGGCGTGAGGCAGCTCGGGGAGGTGCGTTAGGGAGGGAGCCTGTGGTGGTTGCAGCTCCTCCAGCACTGCCCTGCGGGGGGAACCTGCCGCGGCAGCCGGGCAGGGACCGGAGGCGGCCGCGGCACCGCCGTCAGAGCCGGGTCTGCAGCAGTGGATCTGCAGCTGAACGAAGCCAGACTTCTCTGTCCGGCTTTCCTCTCAGCTTCGGTTGCTTTTTGCTTTGCAATTGTATTTTCCTGTACTGATTCCCCCATCCATGCTTGTTCGCGAATATTACAAAGGTGACAAGTGTGAGCTGCCTACACACCAAGCACGGAAAACAACTTTGTTCAGTTTATCAACTGACCCTCCACTCCCATTCCCATAAAGGAGAGGAAAAACACGTCTATTTTTAAGGGCCTCATTGTGATAATTCTCGTCCAGAAGCAATAGTGCTTTTTTCCCCCCTCATTTTTTCCCTCTTTTTTTTTTTCCATTTTTAAAAAGCAAAAATATAAATTATAACTTCCCTCAAAGTTATGTATGCATATGTATGCAAGTAGCATCTGTTTATTCAGATACAGTTGCTTTTCTGCATAAAGAGGGAATTTATATGTAAAACTTGGAATATTCAGACAGATGGCTTATAAATTACTTACTTTGTGACTAATTACTGCCTAAAATCCACAGGCTTTGGTAGTGTTACCTGTTGCTAACTTTGTTCAAAATTAGACCTGCAAATACTACAACTGTGTCATCCTATTTTTTGTTGGTTTGTGGTTCAGAATAAAACTTCGATCTTCTGTTAATCACGCCGCATAGCAAAATAATTAAGTGAGGTGTAGCTGGAGTGCTGCAGGCCTCCTGCAAGTAAAGCTGCCTGGCCAGAAAATGCCATCAAACTTCCTCTACTGTGCAGGTCTGTCAAAAGTCTTTGCAGAAAGCAGGTCATTAATCCTGATCATCTCATCTCATGAGTGATAAAGATACTCCACCTAAAACAGAGAGATTTGTCCCAATCGGCTCCAGAATCAGCAGAAAAAAAACCCCCAAGAAACCAACAACAAACCACTTCTGGAGGGAGATGTTATCACCGAGCATTATAAAGAGAAAAATAATCGGCTCCCTAATTTATCTGTCACTCGTTGGAGGATAAAACCCACCTCGAATAGCTCAGAGAGGCTGTGAGAAGGCAAACAGAAACTTTAGCTGTGACTTGAATGTGAACTTCCTGAGATGGGCACGTGCAGCTTTTCACCTTTTCTTCATGTTTTGGATCAAATCCTTCCTGTTTTGATCTAATATAGATATCACTATTTAAAATATGACTGTAATAACATGAACGCCGTGCAACTAATCTTGACAACGTACCTATAGTTTAAATTTGTGCCAGGAATTAATTGGCTTTTATCCAATTGCTAAGACTTGCTTTTCAGCCTTTATTATAGTTACTCTCTAGCAATGTGTGGGTGGATTTGTTTGTAATTTAGCATAGGCTGTCCCTGGCATTGCACCATACCTCGTACTTAGTACAGAACTATCTGTAACATCAAACTGGGGGGGAAAAAAAAAAAGGTGCAGGTGTGAGGGCAATTAATTTATCATCCCTCCGGTCGGTGCTGGGGAGCTCGCATTGTTAAGCTCACGTCAGCGGGCAATAAAAACTTTCTGGCGAGCCCTGCCAACACAAACTAGAGCAGGAAGACGGCAAAATGTAAAGCCCAGCTTCTCTGACTCTGTGGCTTCGCCTCGTTAGTGGCGTTTCCGTGCGGCCTCAGCCCGCCCGGAGCGCCGCCGCCGCCCTGCCCAGGCGCCGCGCTCGCCAGCAGCGTCCGCAGCAGGCTCCGAACCATTCCCAGGGTTTCTCCTGGCATCCCGGACTCTCCTGAAGGCACAGCTGAGCTTTCCCCTCCGCACGCAGCGTTTGTCCGCGGTGGCGCCGGGCTGCCCCCGCACTCGGCCCGGGGCCAGCGGCGGCGGGGAGCGCGCAGCGTCCGCGACACCGCCGTGACCCTCGCGGATGGACGGGAGAAACAATAAAGAACGCTGCTTCCTAAACCCGGCAAAATACCGTGATTCAAAGGTACCAGAACGTAGCGTTGTTAGCTGACAGGAAAGCTGCTTGGTGCATCTGTGACCTCAGCTACGACACTCACTGGACACATAAAGAAGCAGAGCAAAACATGCTGGACTAATTGGCAAGTTGGCGTCCAAATGTGTTTTATGTCGCTGCTAAAGGGGTACGTGAACATTAGGTTGTAGGAGGCAGACTTAGGAAGCATCAGTTACAGTCAGATTTGCATTACTTAAAGCAGATTTATTTGCGGTATAGAATAGAATTGCATCTTACAGTGCTGGAGTGCTAAGCCTGAGCGAGGGCCGCAGTGCAGATCACGATGTATTGGCTCAGAAAAACCTGCGAAAAATTAATTTGCTTCTTTTGAGCCAAGCCGGAACCTGGTGGAAATGTCGGCGCTTCCCCGAGCGCCGGGCGGTGTAGGGCACCTCCCGGGGGCGCGGGCACCGGGCGGGCTCCGTGTCGCGGCGGGGCGGAGGGGACGCGAACCGCGCCGGGGGCGAGCCGCTGCATCCACCGCAACCAGCGCGGTCCGGAGGGATGGAGGGAGAGGGGCAGGAAGGAAGGAGGGATGGATGGATGGCAGGCACAGAGAGGCAGGGCCGCGCTCCGCCCGGCAGCTGCACCGGCCCGCGTTTCCCCGCTCCGCCCGGGGACGGCTGCAGCCGGCTCCCCGCAGACCCGTTAGGCCGCAGCCGGCGGCGGAGCCCAGCCGGGACACCCCGCGGCGCGGCCGGGCCCAGGGCGCCGCCAGCCCCGGCACGGGCCGTGAGGCTGTGTCGGCTGCGGCGGGCAGGGCGCGGGCCGGCGCTCCCCGCTCGCCCCGGGGCCGCCCGGCGCGGGGTCGGGCCGGTCCCGGCTCGGCGCGGTCCCGCCCCCGGCTCCGGGAGCGCTTGACAGGCGGGCAGTCACGTGGCGGCCGCAAAGCGCCTCTTTGCGACCTCAATGACAGGCAAAATGTGCGACACCGGCGCTGTGGAGGCAGGCGGGGAGCGGCGCTGCCTCCTCCTCCTCCTCCTCCTTCTTCTCCTCCTCCTCCTCCTCCTCCTTCCCGGGCCAGCGGCTGAGGCAGCGCTGCCCGCTCCCGGCCCCGCGCCCGGCCCGCCGCTCTCCTGCCTCCTCCCGTCCTCGGCCCCGGCAGGGGCAGCCCGGGGGCGCCGCGGGAGCCCGAGCGCAGCGCGGCGCCTCCATGAGCTCCTGAGCTCCCGCCCTGCCCCGTCCTCCCCGCGGCTGCGGCTCCAGGTGCGCGGGTCCGAGCAGAGCCGGGACGCAGCTGGCTGCAATGGCGTCCAACATGGACCGAGAAATGATATTGGCTGATTTCCAGGTAAATTTCAAGCCGCCGCCACACAGCCGTGGCCTCTCGCTGCTTTTCTCTTTCTCCTCGTTGCTGTGCTGCTTGTTCTTTGTGGGGAGGTCCCGGGTGGTGGGTGTGAAGCCCTCCACCCTCTGAAGCCTCCGCTCTCGCTTTCCTTCTTTCTTGTTTGTCAGAAATGGGGAGCGTGTGCCCTCTTCTCTCAAGGTGCGTGAACAAAATGTCTTCTTTAACTTAGAGAGTTCCAGTTTTTTAATCAATAAAATAAAGCTTTTTTCATCCACTTTGCTTGTTCCTACCCTCTGCAACCACCCAGGCCCTGGGACAGCTGTGAGGCAGCTCACTTGGAAGAGGCAGATGCCAGGGAGGATACAAAACTCACCAGTCCACATGATTTGTCACAGTGTTTGTAGTGAATCACTTGCTGGTACTACAGATTAGTGCTGAACAGAGGTGTTTCCATTCCAGCATCAACACTAAACTCCATGGTTGCCTCAGCCTATGACTGTTGTGATGACGGTAAAGCTCTTCCCACCCCATTCCAAACAAGTGTGTTTGTGTAGAAGGGAGGAATATCCTCTTCAAAGTTGTTTGTTACCTTTCCTTCTCTCTGCAAAAGGGTTGTAATTTAACTTCAGACTTCTAAATCTTATCCCCAGAATAAAATCTTTCCGTAAATGAAAATGATGTGTTTAGGAGTGTATATTGCTTCTTAATATTGCTTGTTTTATATTGTTTTTCTAAGACCAAGTAAAAAAGTAGAGATACCTGCATTTGAAATAATGGGGGGAGCCAAACACATCTGGGAAGGGAACCAGATAATATTTGAATATGCCTTTTTAATATTTTCTTTTAAATTCATCCATTTTTTAAGCTCTGTCCATTTGCAGTGGTTGTTCTTACATGGGTAGGCACCCGTATATTCTTGGGTTAATTTGTAAAACTGCTATCTGTATGTTCAGCTTCTTAAAAGACTGTTGGCAGTGAAACTATTTTGTTTAATTGAAAAGAAAAAAAAAAAAAAAGTAATCCCTGAAATTCATTCTCTGTGTGTGTTTCTTTGGAGCTACAGGTAGGATGACTGTAGTGTGCACAGTAATTCCTGTGTATTATGTAATTAAATAATTCCGCTGTTGCAAAAGGTACCTGGTATCTCACTGGTGTTACTCATGGAGTTCCCAGCTGGTGACAGGGAACTGTCATCCCCTCCTGTACCCCATATCTTGCACCTGTATTCATTAAAATGCTTACCAATGTTTCTATATTGATACTACTTTGTTGTACTTGGAGGTACTTTTGTGTATATAAGGGATGACATCCCAGCTTTAGGGCTGGGATTTCACAAAGGAATTTTTCCAGGAAATGCACACTGTGGGAAACTGGGACCCCAATTCTGCATTCATACCAGTGGGAACAGATTCTTATGGGATCCCACATTATCACCTGAACTTGCAATCAGGAATCCCAGATGATGAAATTAGTGGCTGGTGAATGTACGATTGTTTGTTTAATACAATTTTTAATAGAAATTTACGCTTTCCAAGGTGTTTTTTGCTATTTTCCAGTATTGTTGTGCTTGGATTTTGAAACCATTAATAAAAGTGTAAGAGCAACTTCAGTGTTTGGTACCATGAAGACAAGTAAGTATCATTGCAAACTTGCAGGTGGGTGGTGGAGTCACAGAAGCCAGTTTTAGGTCAAGGGTGGATGACATAATATGTCTGAACCTAGGACACAGGAAATATTTTATCATATACCAATCCTTATTTAAAAAGAACCCAAACATTTTCCTCTTGTGTTTCAGCAGACAGCTTTGTTTTCCTGTTTCATTGTATTTCTTTTTAAGATAATATCAAGTATCTACCTGATTTTGAAGTCCTAAACTGTTCATTGTCATGCTATTAAAGATTCAGATTAGCAAAGGACAATGTCAGTCATTATTAGGCCTTGTATCTGTAGACTGTTACAAAACAGTAAAGATTTTTGGGTCTTTTAAATACTTGGTGGAATTTGCAACTCACTCACTAAGAATTTAAAATGGAGAATAAAACATTATGTGCAAAGTAATTCTGCATGATTCTCCCTTCTATATTTTCTGTACATTTTAATTAATAAATATGTTTCTCAGAGTTCTGCTGCCATCTTCTATGTTTATGTGAGGTGTCTTGTTGAAGAAAATTGCACACAATGAAAATTTCAAAAGCAATTCTTTATAGTTTAGTTCAGCTAATCTTTGGTGAATTAAATTGGGAGGGAAACTTCCATCACCATTTCACCCTCACTTTTCCCAAGTTGTGTTTAAGGGGGATAGAGTAGTGGTCTTTAAATTTCTGAAGCCTGAAAGGGTTTTCTCTTCCATTTAAAAAACAAAAAGAAATCATAATTTTACTGATGCTTGATGCTTTTGTGAAGCTTTCATGGATTTATTTTATGTCTTCCAGAGTTATTAGGGATTTTGTCTTGGGTTTCAGCTAGAGCAGGAACTTGTATTTGATAGTTTCTTTTTAGCTCTGATTGTAGTACTAGGTTACTGCTGCATTTGGAGGTACCAAAGAGAATGACTTATTTTTTAAAAGTATTTTGTGTACATATATATATATATGTGTGTGTATATATATATATATATATATATATATATATATATATACACACACATAAACCCATGGAATTTGATGAAATATTTTAAGTAGAGAGTAAGGCACAGTGAGTGATCTACCAAAATATTTTTGCCTAATGTCTCAAAACAATTTAAGCCTGTTCTATGTGGTTTATAATTATTTTCTTTTCCTCTCCCTTTTAATGAGGCTACTGTTTGCTACCCAGGGAGCACAAAATACGTATTCATGCATGTGGGCTGTATAAGCAACCTGCCTAACTTTTCCTTCTTAAGCCCACACTTAGGAAAGATTATGCAGAAGCTTTGCTTTGTACATGAGTAGCCTGATTGTTTTCAGTGAAAGTAGCTGATGTGGAGTTCAGTGCACAAACAAGTTTTAGCTTTTTTCTAAATGCAATTCAGAACTTCTCCACAAAGTGTCATTGGCATAAAGGAAAAACTCCATAGGAAAAACACAACAGCTTGTTTTAGCAGCGTAAATTCTTCAAAAAGGTAGCTTCATGTCAGTTGGTAAGTGATGTTGCAACATACTTCACATACTGAGGGAAATAAGGGCATATAATATCAACAAATTTTTAAACAACTGTTCCATTGTTTGTTGTGTTTAACTGCAAAGTGTGCTCCCATCTTCAGTGGGATACCCAGGTGCTCACATGGTACAAATATACTGATGATCTCTTGCAGTTTGGGGTGTACTTTTCACTATAAATAAAACTTTTTTTTTTTCTTTTTAAATTGTAAAATTTAGTTGCACAGAGCTTCATTTAATTGACATAGATTGGTCTTGATTCCCAGAGTTTGAGTATTGGCAGAAGTGTCAGATACTGATGTTTTTGCTCACTAGCATTTTTGCTTTTGCTTATACAGCTTCACTTTGGATTGGAACTAAAACTAGCAAGAATATCTTTCTGGCATTATAAGTTATGTCCACCTATAGGACCACTTAATTCACGCTGTGTGCTTGTCCTCACAACAATCTTAAATGTGGAGTGGGCCTAAGGTTGCAGTATTGTGGGGTTGCCAACTCCTGTGTGTCCATGTATTACAAGAATATCTGGCACTCTGGAGCTTCAGGAGGAAATTTTTAAAAGAATTAACATTTTTTTATTGACCAAGTAAGTATCTCAGGATTTGGTCAGGGTGGGAGGATTTCAAAGTGAAATGACAGAATTCAAAAATCCTTGCTTTCATTGAGACAATTTATTTCTAGTAGTTTTCTTCTCCCCTCTTTCATCTGTATTCATTGTGAAACAATGAATGTGTGCTTTTTTCCCTTTCCCAAATTTTTTTTAAAAGTGGACAATAGACTACTTTTGTGTGATTCACACACTTGTGTATAAAAATGTCTTTTTTTTTTCAACCTCAACTTGTGTCAATCTCTTTCATTAAAACAGATTTATGGGAGGAACAAGGGGGAATTGGGAAGGAAGAGCCTCATTGCCATCAATTGCAGCAAAGTGAAAAAGCATGCTAAATGATTGTGCTTTAAATTATAAAATTGACCATGACAGTGATAGATCAGTTTATTACTTTTTGGTTTGTTTATTTTTGAAGATTTAATTGTAATTCAATCTACTTATTTCCTTCTGGAATGGCAAAATTTAAAGAAACTGAGAATCCTTTCACCTGGAGGATAACGCAGTACTGTTAAATAACTAACAAGATAGAGTATTTGGCTTGGTTGGTGGTTTTTTTTTTGTTTGTTTGTTTTTTTTTTTTTTTGGTTTCTTTTTTCTTTATTTTGGTTACTGTCTTCTTTAGCCCTGTCGAAGATTAGCTCATCTGTGAACCTCTTTGTAGTAGGGGAAATCTGAAATCAAATTAAATTTGGAATCTTTTTTCAGTGGGTGCTAAGTGAGCTTTGCTTCTGTGCTTGTTGGCATGGTGGCTCAGGTTTTCTGTAGTTTTAGGTAATTGCCAGTATAAAGNTTTTTTTTTTTTTTTGGTTCCTGTCTGCTTCAGCCCTGTCGAAGATTATCTCAGTTGTGAACAGTTTTCACTGACAAACAGTGTGTGCAGAATTTACATTTGTATTCTTTTTTCAGTGGGTGCTAAGTGAGCTTTGCTTCTGTGCTTGTTGGCATGGTGGCTCAGGTTTTCTGTAGTTTTAGGTAATTGCCAGTATAAAGATTTGATGGGTGGAAAAGGTAGGCAGATACAGGAATAGCTTCAAGTCAGTACCTTTGATTCTGGCCCTGGTCTGTGACTTGTGGTGGGGGCTGGAAAGTGTTTCAAACATTTCTGTAAGGATAAACCACTCACTGTGGGTTCTGAACAAATCTCAAAGTGCATGTCTTTAATACTGATTTCTGAAAGAAAAAGACATGTTTTGTCATTAGGGTGCTGGGGCAGAAAGGGCTGTTCTTGCTTTCTTTGCAGGCTTTCAGTGGAGTGGTTGGGAATTTGGAACAAGGTCCTCAACAAAAGGTTGTTGCTGAAGAGAGTTCCAGTCAAAGTTTGAACAAAAGCTGGAGGACACTTTCCAAAGATTTAAAGTTCTTGGAGGTGTACATTTTCATCAGAAGCTCTCCCTATATACTATACCTGGATATACATATGTTTAGATCTATCTGAGTTTAAGCCTCAGTCTTACTCAAACCAAAACCTCTATTTAGGGTGGCCTCTCCGTAGAACGTTGAGTGCAGTGGGTGCTGATCTAAGCTCTGCAGATCTCTCCACAGAAGCTGGAAGGAAATCCAGTACTCTAGAGGCTGGAAATCAGGGTTTGGGATAGACAGGTTTGTTTAATCATACCTCCTGCTGGGTGTCTTTAGTTAAAAGTGGGCTCTGCTGGGTTTCTAATAGTTAGGTGGCCAGATGCTCAGCACTGCTTCACCTGACCTGTTTTAATGGATATAGGTTACTGTATCTTTAGTTAAATTTTAAAATAGATAACAGGACT